AAACAAAATACATGATAGTGTGGCAAAACATTAATAAGAACAGTTAACCAAGATTGCATGACTGCCAACTCTCATGCACTCTCATCCTCGTTTGATCCGATTTGGCTTGATGGAAAGGCGATAATTCTTTAGCCTGCATAGCGGCACTCTGAGGAAAGGAGTCTGCACGAGATTTGCTGTTTTGCCATTCCCGCCAACTTAGCCTGCAGGCTACGCACATTTTCTACAGATGTCAAAATTGACCAATCACATACATCGTTCACGTTTGTAAATTTACTTTTCAAAATGAAATAATATAGATTGCTTTACTCGGCGAACGAGATTGGCATTATGTTTGCAAATTTCAAAACGAAATAATATATGGATATCGGCTAAAGAAATTTTAAGTTTGTGGGAATAGCGCTAGAGCAGTCTCCATCGTCGTCACAAGTAGTTTGCAGTTCATGTGCGATAAAGCTACGAAATCCCGTGGATACGTACAAATTTCGACAGCGGTTAACCGCGATATCAGTATGTCAGTTTCGAGCGATGTAGGGAAGATAAAGGTGTCTGAAGTCGTCACCCCAGAGAGAGCAAGTCCTGTTCGTAAGCATTCACAGCAATTCTCTCCTGGCACAAAGTTATAAGCTACAGATCATCAAGAAAAAATCAATTTGTCGTCGATGAAAACGAACACGGTCGTGAAAGAGATCCCCAAATGCGACTCTCTTTTGAATGCAAAACTTAAGAAGAAACACCTCTCAAATTTGATCAATGATTATTTTAGCATAAATTAGCATATTTTTCATTTTGAACCTAAAACGGTAAAGCATGGGGTTTCGTGCAGATTCTCCTTTCCTTTGAGAGCCGTTAGGCAGGCTAATAATACCTGTATACTATATGCATGAATAATTTGCGACGAAATATCATCTGTACAATAAGTAACACAAGCTACAGAGACGTTATCTTATGCATAGCTTAGTGTGTCTATAAATATTTCATATTGAAACATTACCTTTGTATTCGTTTTACTCTCTCAAGTCAACGTATAGTTCGTTATTATACGTAAAAATATATATTAGTTTATTTTCTTATATGCCAATATTTTGTTGATATTCTGTTTGAACACATGCATTCAGGACTGAATCAAATTTTAGAGTAGTCGTTAAATATTGTTTAAATTTAATGTTTTCTTTTAAGCAATTTTTCCCGCACTTTATCCCCTTTTGTCCGCATTTTATCCCTTTTGTCCGCATGTTATCCTTTTTGTCCGCATCCGCATTTTATCCCTTTTGTCCGCATCCGCATTTTATCCCTTTTGTCCGCATCCGCATTTTATCCATTTCTTTGTCCGCATCCGCATTTTATCCTTTTTGTCCGCATCCGCATTTTATCCCTTTTGTCCGCATCCGCATTTTATCCCTTTTGTCCGCATCCGCATTTTATCCCTTTTGTCCGCATCCGCATTTTATCCCTTTTGTCCGCATCCGCATTTTATCCTTTTTGTCCGCATCCGCATTTTATCCCTTTTGTCCGTCCGTCCGTCCGTCCGCGTGTCCGTCCGCGTGTCCGTCCGTCCGTCCGCATCCGCGTTTTATCCCAACCCTTTTTAAATATTCAGTTTTGTAAAATAGAGAACCAGAGATAGAGAACCGCCCTTTAACACTGTGTTAATTATTAAATAGCCTAACACTGTCTGGTAAACTATTGCTTCTCTCAGTCTCAGTCATAAATTTAACAACAGACGCTCTCACTCGGAAAACGATGGCGTCGCAGACTCATATTTTGAGCATGATCCATCTGCTTATACTGTCGATTAAACTCAAGAAGAGGTTAAAATGTAGAGGCCGGCTTATAGCAAAGCGGTATAAAACGCCAAGTTCTTCTTCAGCGAGTTAGCGATTGCTTTTAATAGTTCGGGAGAGCATCGTTCGCTGGATGTATTGACGGGGGAAAATGGTTAGCTGCGAAAGTTCTTGGAGAAAAACCAGCACAGTCCGCAGTCAATAACAATCAACACATTGCTACTGCAGACATTCCCGTCCCGTCCGACTTTTCAATTCCCTGTTTCGGCAGTTTTTCTTAGTATCTCGAATCACTTGGACATGTTCCCCAGCAACAGTGCTTAGCATTAACCATGTTTGTAATTTGGGATAAATTTGAATTCGTTTTAGCACAGATAAAATAAATAAAAACGTCAATTTAGACCAATTTATGTTCGCTGCTAGTACAATTCTATACAAAATGTTAGTTTGTTTGTCTGAGTCTCGTGGGGGGTTTTCACTTGGAGAATCTATTTTTAGCTACTGCGGACAACGCTATTCAAAATTGTTAAGACAGAGCTTGAAATAACCGATCACCGATCAATGATCGGCAAGGAATTGCTTATGATCGGCGGAAAAGCAGGGTTTCAGTTTCCAACCTGAAAAAAGCAGGGAAAGTCGCGACTGCCGATCACCATGATCGGGAACTTTGGGAACGTTATTTCAAGCCCTGCATGTAAGAATACAAATTTACAATTACATGTATCGAAAGGGCTTTACACAGTTACAGTAGATGAATACTCAATAGGACTTATGACGCTTCACAGCACACCATGCAAATTTTGCATTTTTTTCAGTGTTAATCCTTAAACTCATTGTTAAAAATTAATCACCGTGGTGGTTATTGTAATTATTGGTATTGTTTTGCATCCACGTTTTGTCGTTATCGGAAAATGTATGGTTTGTCACTATTTTTTACTTGCATTATTTCAATATAGTTTGTAAACTCAGAAGCGAAGGGTAGAACTTGGCAATAGGCAATAATCCAATAATATACGTTTCAAAGAAGCAAAAAAGACAAGAAAGCTTTTAGTTTTGCAGAGTTACATTTTCAAATGTTTAAGGCATGCACTAATAAAATCAAAGTATCATGAAATTATTTCAATAAACCACACCACATATACAATGCAATTTTCTTTGCGGAAGTGAAGAATCAAGATTACATCACTGACACAGAAAGTTGACGATTCAACGGACAATAGTCAATACGCTTCCCAACAAATTCCATGGATTTTTTACTAATCCTATAGTTTATTGTTAGCAAGTGATTACTGTGGCGGCTATTGTTAACACTCGTATTGATAAAATTTGCAAGCGATTGTTTTTATATGTTATGTGAATGTAAACTGCCAGAAGAATACGACAACATGATTTTATGCGATCTCTGTGATGGTTCCACTTTAGATGTGTAGAATATGACACTAGTCTAAGTACCTCAAATTACTCGGTTATGCAGACTGCGCACACCACCAGCTGCTAAGAAGCCTAAAATGTGTATGTGATTTTGTCT